TGTTGTCAGAGGGGACCATTCCCTGGAGAAGGATGTCATGCTTGGTAAGATGGAGGGTCGACAAAAGAGGGGAAGGCCTTCGACGAGATGGATTGACATGGTAGCTGCGACAATGGGCTCAAGTATAGCAAGGATCACGGAGCTGGTGCGGGTGCGGGATTGGGTGGTGTTTCGTTCTGCTGTGCATGGGGTCGCTATGAGTCGGAAATGACTCGACGGCACCTAACAACAACAACAACAAGGCACCCCAGAGTCAAGGCTCGGAATATTAGCCTTAGACTGTTAGCTCAGGGCAGTGGTTTGAAGCTGCACCAGCAAGCTATAGTAAGCAATTCAACTCCATTTAGATCCAATGCACATATGTATATCTGTGTCCATTTTGTAAAACTGTTTCACCCAACAGTACTTCTTTGTATGTGCTTCTCTGTTCCATTTTCTTTTAACCATTTTTAAATTGTTTTATTTTTAATCTAAATTTTATTGTGGTAAATATATATCACAAAAAGTTTGCCACTTTAACCATTTTAAGTATACAACTCAGTGGCATTAGTTACGTCCACTGTGTTATGCTAATAAGAAAAACAAAACAGCGGCTGTAGAGTTACCTCCAGCTCACGGCAACCCTATGAGTGTCAGAGAGCTGAGCTCCATGTGGTTTTCAGTGGCTGATTTTACGGAAGCGGATTGCCAGGCCTTTCTTCCCAGGTGCCTGGGGGTGGATTCAAACGTCCAGCCTTTTGGTCAGCAGTCGCTTATGTTAATTGTTTGCACCACCAGGGACTCTGTGCTACCGTTATGTTGTTGTTGTTGTTATGTGCTGTCAAGTTGGACCCAACTCATAGCAACCCCTCCTTGGGTTTCCAAGTAAGTATCACTATGGAAGTAGATTGCCCCATTTTTCTTCCAAGGAATGGCTGGTGGGTTTGAACCACCAGCCTTCTGGTTCAGAAGTCAAATGACTTAGGCACTATGCCACCAAAGCTCCTGTGCTACCATTAAGACTTTGGGAAATGGACAGTGGTATAATGGTGCTACTATTATACCACTGTCCATTTCCAAAACTTTCATCGCAGCAAAGAAAAACTCAGTGCCACTTCAGCAGTTACTCCCGGTCTCTCATCCCCTAGCCCCAGATAACACTAATAAGGTTTGGTCTCTGTGCATTTGCTGTTCTAGATATTCATATCAGTGGGCTCATTCAGTATCTGTTCTTTTGTACCCAGATTATTTCATGCAGCATAATGTTTTCAAGGTTCATCTGTGTCTTCATTTTCTTTTAATGCTGGTTGTAACCCAATAAATTTATTTCACTGGATAGAGACTCACTGCCTTAAAGATTGTATACCTTCAGAGAGAGAGAGAGGAGAAAGAACTGGTTTAGAGCGGTCTGTATATCTGCGTACCGCTCCCCCTGCCCAACTTTCCCTGAGAATTTAATCAATAATAAATATTTGGTTCTTGTTTGTATGTTAACTGGAACTTCTGGGTCATTATCTAGAAACATTTACATGTTCTGTAGGAAGATGATGTTCTGTAAAATGACTGTTGTTACAGGTGCAGGATTTAACCGAAAGCTGAATCAGGGCAGTGATCCACTCGGTTCTCCTTTCTTTCAAAGCAGGTAGTTCCGATTTGCCAGCAGAATGACTTCAGAAAGAGACTCAGAGACTACATTTGAGGAGGACTGGCAGCCGAATGATGAAGTGGTTCCGTACAGTGATGATGAAACAGAAGACGAACTTGAGGACCAGGGGCCAGCTGTGGAGCCAGAACAGAATCGAATCAACAGAGAAGCTGAGGAGAACCGGGAACCGTTCAGGAAAGGTAACTGCTGTGAGGAGCGGTGGTGGTGGTGGCAAAGTCTGCAGAGGATGGTGGGCCCGTCTTACAGCATGGTTGGTGGGCCTGGACAGGTACCCTCGTCTTCATCCTCAGTGGGATAGGGCCAGAAGACCCTATCTGATAAGTTTACGGAGAAAACTGAAAGTCTTGGTGAGTGTATGTATTGTAAAAATGGAGCTGTATGTGGAAGAATTTGCTTGTTACATCCAGCACTAAAAGAGTGTATTTATCAACCAAATAATCTTTGGATCTAAATTAACTGTATTATTGAATATGCAGTGTGAGTTGTATAATTAACCACTTATATATTTAGTATTTGGAGACATTGCTAAGAAATTATACATGCATGTGGATGTGTGTTGTGTTTGCGCTTGTCCACAGATGGAGAGCAAAAGTAATATACAGGAATAATTCCTAAATCGTGCCCAAATACTCAAAAAACAGACAAACCAGTTTCCATCAAGTTGTCCCAACTCACGATGACCCCGTGTGCTAGAGTGAAACGACCCTCGGTGAGGTTTTCAGCGGCTGTGGTCTTTCAGAAGCACACTGCTGTCAGGCCTTCCTTTCCACATGCTTCTGGGTAGACTTGAACTTCCAGGGCTTTTGGGTGGTTGAAAGCTTAACTGTGCCACCCAGGAACTCCTTTGTCCAAAGAAATGTAGTTTAACAAATCAACCAATCATAGGTGTTATCACCAGAAGCTTGCTGTGTGCTTGGTGAGGATGGTTGTCCGTGGATATCCAGCATCTCAGCTGCATGGGCCCATCGGGCAATGATGTTGGCCCTAGTCCCCATAAGGATGGTACCTGTTCTTTGACCAGAGTACAGGAAGACATTCCATTTGTTCACCTCTGAGCCTCTCAGCATCTTCAACTTGTTCCTTCTAGTGCTCCCTGCTCCATTAGAAGGACCTGGAGTTGCCACTCCGTTTCCTTGGACACTTGGGAGTATAGAATGGTCCTGGCTCACTGGCAGGAATTCCCCCAAGAGGCCCTGTATGTGGCTGCCTGTGCTCCCTGCCGGCATCAGGTCAGTGTAGCTTCAGAAGCAGGGTCTAGACCAGGGGAGGGTCCACAGACTTTCTGGAAGGAGCTAGATAGTAAACATCAGACTGTTCACTCTGCTTTGTGTGTGAAAGTGACCATCAACAATCCATTACCTATGGTACTGGGACAAAGCTGACCTTCCTGATTCTGCTTTTTTCCTCTGTGGCTTCTCAGTATCATTTCCTAGTGGTTCTCCCATGTTAGAAACGAACATGACCAGTTGCCGTGGAGTCGTCAGACCCATAGCAATCCCATCTGGGTCAGAGTAGAGCTGTGCAGTGGCTGATTTTCTTTTCTTTTTTTTTTTTTAATTAGGATTTGGGTGAAGATTTACAGAGTAAATTCACTTTTCATACGGCAGTTCACATATACTTTGTCTCATGTCACTGACCAAAATTTACAATGCAGCAGCTCCCCTCCCACTTCCTCCCCATAGTTACCTCCTCCCAGTGTCCATCCCTTCATACTCTTCTGCACCCTGAGTTGTCTCCCTGTGCATAAGCAGCCCTTCCTTCTCCCATGATTGTTCTCTCCAGGGCTTGTGTCTACTTGAGGTAAATGTTTAACTCACATGCCTGTACTTTGTTTGGCTGGAAACCACAGTTGTGGGTTCAATTCCAGACCTGAAGGGCAGCTAGGGGCCATAGTCTCAGTGGTTACACCAGGCCCCATTGGACCAGCAAACCTGGTCCCCACCTTCTTTTTTTTTTTTTTGCCTCCAAATGATTTTGAGTTTTGTACCACATTGTTCTCCCTCTCTATGCAGGATCTCCTACATCCCTTCCAAGTGGATGGCAGTGGTAGCTGGGCACCATCTAGTTCTTCTGGTCTCATAGTTGTATAGGTTGCAGATCGGATGGTGTACCAGTCGCTAGGACTGATTGTTTCCATTCATTTGGTTTTCTTCTTTCTTCTTGACAAGGAGAGACCCATTGTTGCATCTAGATGGCAGCTTCCTAGCTTTTAAGGTCCCAGTCGCTACTCGCCAAAGTAGTAGGTGGAACAATGTTTTGTATAGTATGTTATGCCAATTGAGCTTGATGTCCCCTAAGAATTGATTTTCAAAAATGAAATGCCAGGTCTTTGTTCTGAGGTGCCCCTGGGTGGACTTGAACCTTTGTGTTGGCCTCCAAGCGCTGTGAACAGTGTATACAACCTAGAGACGCTGAAGACAAACAAAGCCTTTCCTTTGAGCTCTCCTGCTTAATGAGGAAGCTGGACCTTTTAGCTCCTGATTTCAGACAGACAGCATTTCCTCCACAGTCCCTTGAATTCATTCTGACTGACTCGTTTCCCATTCATGGGACTCACCCTGATACCGTTCTATTTCCGACTCTCCAGACTTGCTGCTCTGCAGACTCAATCAGAGTAAGCTCTGGTTTGCTCTGGCTTCTTCAAAGCCACCAGCATGCCTGTTCTGCCTTTTCAGAAGTCCTCGAAGCCTCTGCTGGCCCCATGTCACTCCCTGACTCCTACTCTCTCCTTCTGGGGTTCTGCCACCTGGGTGAGCTGTTTCTCAAACAGCTGTTACCTGTAGAAAGGTTGGCAAGCCATGAAATCCCATGTCTGTGATGGTTCGTCCTGCTCTGGCCCCACTGTGCCCCTCTTGAGCTCCCTTGGGGGGAGAAGAGCCTCAGTGGAAGAGGAGACACATGTCCATGTTGATCCTCCCCACCCCCCCCAGGTACCCAAACCTGGGGAGGCCGTCAGTTTATGTAGATTGTATGCTGTCGTCATGCCTGTCCTCACCTTCCCATATCAAACATACAGACTTCTTAGACCTGACTCGAAGGTCCCTGGGTGGGTGAGTGGTTCAAACCCAACAAGCAACAGCCTGGAAAAAAAGATCTGGCGATGTGCTTCCAGACAGATTGTTGTTGTCAGGTGCCACTGGGTCCATTCTGACTCATGGCGACCCCAAGTGTGCAGAGTGGAACTGCACTCCATAGTGTTTCCAAGCCTGTGACCTTTTGGGGGAAGATCACCAGGCCTTACTTCCAAGGCACCTCCGAGCGAGTTTGAACCGCCAACCTTTCAGCTAACAGTCAAGAGTTTAACCATTTGCACCACTCAGACTCCTACATTAAGATGATAGTCAAGAAAACCTATGGAGCAGATCTACTCTGTAACCATATGGTTGCAGTGAGTCAGTCGACAAGGCAACGGACTTCAGCTATAGGTTCCCGATTATAATTTTAAGCTTTTGATTACTAAATTTAATGCTTTCTGCCCTGAAGCAGAAGGTACTAAAGCCAAGATAACTGAGCTAAATTAGAATAGAAAGCACCGCCAATCTGAGCAGGAAGGTGGCTTCTGTCAGAACAAGTCTAGACGAGACACTGGTAGGAAGGGCATAAAGTTGAAGTAGCCTGACAGGTTCACAGTGCAGTTCTATTTGGGTGCCCGAATATGAATAACACTTCTCTTCCTCATTCCTCCCCACTGCACGTCTCATTTCATATCATAACCTTGGAATCTCTACTAAGTATGGACATCTGGCAGGTTGACAGAAGGACTGGCCTGGTGGGGCTGAGGGTGAACTTTGCCACATTGTCAGATGTGTGGAGCAGGATGCAGGGAAGGGGCTGAAGTTGGGAGCCTGCAGAAACGACAGGCCATCATGCAGCGGGTGGAAGCTCCCACCTCTGTTTTCCAACTCTGCCTACTCGCTGTGGTCGTCAGTCCCTTTCTGAACTGATCAGTCTACAGACCACATCATGTGCAGGTTTGTACCTTCCTAACACAGAGGTTAGGAGCTCTGGTGGCATAGGTCCTAAGGCACTTGACTGCTAACCAGAAGGCTGGTAGTTCAAACCCACCAGCCACTCCTCGGAAGGAAGATTGGGCAATCTACTTCTGTAGAGCTAATGCCTCAGAAACCCAAGGAGGGATTGCTATGAGTCGAATCAACTCGATGGCAGTACGTTTGGTTTTTTGGTAACACAAATATTGAGTGAGCTCTGTCTTAAATTTGCCTCTTCAGTCTTTTCCAGGGGTGATCTCTATTCCTAGGGATTTGGGTTATTCTCATTTCTCAAAAACACTATCAAATGACTTTTCCGGGAACTTCTTTCCTTATTATTCTAACACCCATCTCTGCCCTTCCCAGGCACAGTCTTGCCTCCTATTTCCACCTTTGCCTGCCTTTTCCATAATCTCCTCCCTCCTTCCCTCCCTCCACCCTACCTCTCTTCTCCCCAACCCTCTTTGGTAACCCATTGCCATAGAGTTTAATCCGAATCATAGTCACCTTGTAGGGTTTCCAAGGCTATAAGTCTTTATGGAAGCAGGCTGCCACATCTTTCTCCTGTGGAGCAATTGGTGGATTCGAACCACAGACCTTTTGTTAGCAGCTGACCGCTTTAACCACTGTGCCATGGGGCTCCTATTCCATCCCTCTACCCTTTTCTTTATGTCCTTTATCTTCTCACTGGTGTATTTTTCTCATTAAGGCTGCTATCACCCTGAGTTTTCTTTCTTTCTTTTCTCATCATCTGTCTGTCTTGATGTTTTACTTGAAGGATAATTGTCCTCAAAGAGCTGGGTTCTCTAAAACACAAGAGTGTGAGTCAGCCCTGTGAAGGAACCACTGTATGTAGGGGTGGGTTGCCTCAGGGGCTGGTACCCATTGTAGCAGAGCAGGCCCTAAGCGAGTCATTTCTTTAATAATACCATCTTAGCCCAGAAAATTGTGTTTCTTTTTGTGAAAAACTAATGCTATAGTCAGGAGCTCTGGTTTGAAACAATGTTTTGAGGGACCTACTTAAAGTGCTTTTCAGTTGAAGAACCTTTATTGTATGAGAGAGACAAGAACAAGTATGAGCATGCCCTTAGAATGGGCCATTGAGGATAAGATAAGCCCATAGATTTGACTGAAGTAATTCCACTCATAGTTTACCCTGAGGAAAGATGGACACCGATGAGGGGGAGTAC